AATCCCAACCCAATCGAAAAGGGAGCAAATTCAATTTGATTTGAAATGACCACAGACGTCTCCTGCAGCGACAGGCAGAGCTCCCTGGGGAGCTCAGAAAAGTAATTACCTCCAACATGGAACCAGAAAGGTCCCACCAGCCTTATAAAGGCTCTGTGGCTGCTACATGTGAGGGCCAGGATGACATTCCAGTGTGGAATATCAAGTCCTCCACACTGATTGATACTCTGGGGGGCATCAGGCAAGGCATGGCCAGAGGGAGGAGATTGTCCTGCTCTGCTCTGGTGTGGCCTCACCTTGGATAGTGTGTGCAGTTTGGGCACCACAAGAGAAGAAAGGTATTAAGTTATTAGTGAGTTTCCAAAGAAGGCAACAAAGGTGGTGAAGGGCCTTGAGGGACCATATGAGGAGTGGCTGAGGGAACATCAGCTGTTCAGCCTGGAGAGGAGGAAACTGAGGGGAGAACTCATGACTTTCCTCATGAATGGATGTGGAGGGACAGCACTGACCTCTTCTCTCTGGCTACCAGTGACAGCACCTGAGGGTGCATCAGGGGAGGGTTAGGTTGGGTATCAGGAGAAGGTTTTTTTTCCCTCAGAGGTGTTTGGGCACTGGAACAGGGTTAGGTTGGAGATCAGGACAAGGTTCTTCCCCCAGAGGTGTTTGGGCACTGAACAGCTCCCCAGGGCAGTGGGCACAGCCCCAAGGCTGACAGAGCTCCAGGAGTGTTTGGCCAACACTCTCAGGCACAGGGTGTGATTCTCCTGTGCAGGGCAGTTTGACTAGATGACCCTTGTGGGTCTCTTCCAGCTGATGATGCTGTGATTGCAGCACCCACATTACCTTGAACTCCAGCTCCATGCCCGTCACGTGCTCTCTGGCTTCAATCTGTGCCAGTTTCTGGATGTAGCTGTAGAGATTCCGAGCTGGGACCTCGGTGTTGCCACAAGCCACAGCCTCGAGCAAGGCATCGTGGATGAAGCTGTACTGGTCTTCTGTCTGTACCATGTAGTTACGTTGGGATCTCATGAGGGTGACATGGCCATAAATATCCACTGTCTTCTCATGTTTGATCCTCTCCAGCATGGCATCGATCACGATGAAGCAGCCGGTCCGGCCAACGCCCGCACTGCCAGGGAAAGGGCAAAGAATGAAGCAGTGGTTCTTCCACTCCAAGATATTCCTGGTCACCCACAAGAGAGGATCTTCCCACTGCCACAAAGCCATGCACGAGGCAGGGAATGTCCACCAAATGCACTTGGTGAGTGGGAAGGAACCTCAGCCTTGGCACATGGTGCTGATGGGCTGAGGGAAAGGAAATCCTGGCAAACCAGCCAAGAATGGGTGGGAATTTAGGGTTTTCTGGGCCTGGAGATGATTCTTGTGGGTTCCTTCCAGCTCAGGAGATTCTAGGATTGTGTGGAATGTGTGGGTCAAAATGTATTGCTGGATTAAAGGAACTTGCCAAATGGAACTTACTGTCCTCACTCCTCAGTGCTGCTCTTGACAGAGTTTATAAACACTGTCCTAGAGGGTTTGGACAGAACATTCACTGGAGAACAGTGGTGACCCCAAAGTCACTGCTGCTCTGAGTCACTCCAGTGTGTGAGCACAGTGCTGCACTGGGGCCAGTAAAACCTGTACTGGGGCCAGTAAAACCCAACTGGAACCCAAACCACCTGAGGAGCTGCTGGGTCAGAGCCAGCAGACAGAGAAGCTTTTAATCTATTTGCCCAACCATAAGCAGCAGCACTTTGCCTCAGCCCCAAAGGGTTTGTGACGTGCAGAGTTTTGCTCTGAGTGGTTCAAACTTCCCAAACCAAGTTATGCCACTCAAGGCCAGGCTGGAAGAGGACAAGCTGCCTCTGGAGCTGTGCCTGTCCCCTCTCCACACTGCTCTGGCCCATGGCTCCTGCCCTGTCACCCTGGGCCAGCAGTGATGCTGCAGACACAGCTGTGACAGCTCCAGGTGGGGAACAAAGGGCTGAAAAAGGCTGTTTAATCACTCAGATCTCTCAGAGCTGAGAAACCACTGACGTTGTACTGAGTAACGCACATCACCTCTCTCCTGAAATGTTTTTTGTGCATGGAGGTAACATCAGACCTGTGTGTAGTGGCATTGGCACCTCAGCAGGGCTCTGTGCTGGGAGCCTGTGCCACTGCTAATAAAGGCTTTTCTTTTACCATGCCAGTGCTGTCCCTTTTTCCATGGAGCCCCTTGATCTTTGTTAATTAGGCTGCCTAACACCTGAACCAAGCAGGTGACTGGAGCTCTGGCAGGAGTTGAGCAGCTGATCTGGGAGCTGGTTCCTGCGTGTCGGGAGCTGACAGCTCTCTCTATTCATTTTCTGAGGGGCACAATAATTGCCATCTGCAAGGGCAGTGATAAGTTGCCCACTCACAAAGGCTGGCTGAATGGCATCCTCTAGCAGAGGCAGGATTAGCTCCCCCAGCAGCCTGTACACCTCAGATCTCCCCTCATGCTGAGGAACCTGCAGGCTCCTCCACAGCCTCCCGAGGAGCACAGGGATTTATCCAAGCTGAGGCTGCAGGCATTCCTTGTTGGGTTGGAAATTGAATTAGGGAACGTTACCTGCCTTCAGCTTGTCGTTATCAGAGTGGCTGCAGCACTCAAGAAACTCTCTGTCAATCACTGTCAGCTCTGCCTCCCAAACAGCCCATGCAGCTTCTGAGGTTGTACCTGATCCTCCTCCTCCTCCTTTCCCACCATGACCAGGAACACCCCATTACCCAAACCAGGCACTAATACAGCCCTAAGTGCTTCCCATGGCTAACAGGATCAGAGAATCATGGAATGGATTGGGTTGGACCTTGAAGCTCATCTCACTCCACCCCCTGCCATGGGCAGAGACACCTTCCACTAGCCCAGGTTGCTCCAAGCCCCATCCAACCTGGCCTGGAACACTTGATCCAAGTGGTTTGGTGCAAACTACACCACTCATCACCTCAGGAAATGCTGTGCTCAATTGAAAGCCCAAGTATCCTCCTCAGATGCTGCCTGGGAATCCACCTTGGAGCACAGCTCTCACCTGACAGGAACTCACTAGCACCTACTCATGTCTCCCAAGGGCAAATCCACATCCCCCTGAACTTCCCTCACACGTGGCCCCAGGCAGAGCCAGGTGAAGGCAGCTGAAGGTACCTGCAGTGCACCACGATGGGACCAGCATCAGGAGGGTTGCAGGTTTTCACCCGTCTCAGGAAGGCCAGGAATGGGGTGGGATACTCGGGCACACCATGGTCAGGCCACGCCGTGAACTGGAACTGCCGCACCTCCCTCTTCTCACTGGAGCCATTCTGCAGGACAGAGGAGCACCAGGAGTCACTGGGGGGACCAGCACCTCCACACCTACCTGTGCTATGTGTGGACAACACATGTAGGCCATTTCCAGGGAAAAACAAGAGCAGGAGCAAGCTCACCTTGTGAAGGGAGAACGTTCGGATGCAGAATGTGGCCAACTCAATGGTGTCCAGTAATGTCACTTGAATCATTCCATAGGTGTCTGTACCTCGGCCTGGCCAGTACTGGTCACACTTGATCTGCAGGACAGGAGGGATGGCTCAGTGCTGGAACAAACCCTTGGCTGCTGGGAAGGTTCATTCCCAAACTGCTGGAGCTATCCAGGTGCAAGAAATGTCTTTGCAGAGCACCAGGACAGGGCCAGAGCCAGCAGGAAAAGCTCCTCCTGCCTAAGCACAGGCTTTGATGCCACCTCAATCCTGGAGACAATAGACTGGAATGATCAGGAAGATTAGAGGGAATGTACTGGGGCTTGTTAAACAAGAGAACTGAATGTGAAACTTGCCACATGATTAACTCCGAGACAGAGCTACAGAGCACGGATGGGATGGAGCAGCCTCTTCTCCTGGAGCTGCAAAGGAGGCTGCAGCTTCCCAGGGTGAATGGTTTGGTTTTTTAAAAGCAATGAATCACTGAACTTTCAGGGTGCTGGCAAAGCAGGGCAGAAATTCCCCACTGGCTTCACATCAAAGAGATTTGCTGCTCCCCCAACTCTCCCCTCCAATCCTCCAGGATTATGACTAACCAGTCATCCTTCTCATGCCTCTTACCCGTGATTTTTCCTCCAGTTTCGTCATCATAACAATAGTAGCTGAACGCTGCTCCCACACCATCCTCCAGAAATCTCCAAAGGTCTCTGGCAGAGGCCCCTGAGTGGCAATGTAGGCGTTTTGCTTCCGATACCCATCGATGTAGTTGGCATTGATGTAATCACTGCCCACAATTCCTGTGTTAAATCAGCAAAAAAAATCAGTGAATTGCACTTTATACAGTCGGTAGCATGAGGAGATCTTTGCAGGGATGATGTTAGGGATAAATCCCCTGCAGAAACATCAGAGCTTTTGTGGCTTGGTGGGTCAGAATCACAGCTGGGATGAACAGCTGGCAGGTTTTTCCCAGCTCAAGCTCCTGCATTGCAGGAAGACAAGGAACTTCTTACAAAAGATATGAAGAGGCTGAATATCAAGCCCTGAAACTGTGATCATTTTGCTGGTGTGGCTAACAGCAGCAAAGTCTTGGCCTGGAGCTCCTGTTGCAGCATCTCCAAGAGGACAAACCCAAGTCCTTGTCCCCACACGCCCCGAGCCCACGCACCAAAGGCACCTGGTCAATGATTGCATGGTCCATAGCCTAATCCCAGGCAGGGAGCTACAGCTGGACAAAGTGAAGAATAAACCCAGGCTTGATTCAGCCAGGGAAGGCTTTAAAATTACAGCTCTGCCTTGCTGTAAATTGCTCACTGTCATTTTTAGGAGTGGGTTGTTGGTTTTTTTTTTCCCCCTTCGCATGAGTTACAGGCTATTGAGTTACAGCTGCTCGCCTGGGTCCTGGCTGGAGGGTTTGGGATGAGCAGGAGGCACTGCCAGAGTGAAGAGGGTGATTGGGACATGGCAAGAAAAAGCTGCTCTGAAGTTAAAATGGACCCTGGCAAGCAGTTGCTGCTCAGGTTCAGCTTCGGAGAGCCTGTGCCTGGCATGGAGCAGCCTGGTCCTAATTACAGCCCAGTGGCTGGCAAAGCTGGCAGGAGCTGCTAACCCATGATTAACTGGGTACAGAACCCTTCACTCCTGTCTCCAGGGCAGCCAAGGGTGGGCAGCAGCACCAAGCTGAAGTTGGCCGTGGCTGGCGAGGTGTGATCATGGGAACTGCCTGCCAGGCCTCAAGGGCACTCAGCAATTTCAGCTGCTGCTGCTGCTAGAAAAGGCTTTTGATTGAATTTCTGGAGGGTTCCCTGCCCCCATTCCCTCCCAATGTGAGGTTTCAGGAGGGAGGCAGTGGCAGGAAGGCTGAGCTTCCTGAGTTAATCTCCTCTCCAGCCCCCTCGGGTCCACTCTGTAATTTCAAACCATGGCCATGAGCTCCTGCAATGTGTGACAGGCTCAGTTTCAGAGGAGCCACAGAATCAAAGCCACTACTTCTTCCTGACCAAGCAGCCAGTGACAACCTGCAGCCTTGACAAATCCAGGTTTGAACCAAAGAGAAAGCAACAACTCCTTCCTCCAGCTCTTTTCATCTTCCAGAGCATAAAATAGAGCCCAGTAGGAGGGAGCACATCAGCCAAGAGATGTCAGAACCTCTCAGATGCTTGAGAATTCAACCTTGGCCCATTGTATTTGCACCATCAGTTCCTCACAGTGCCCCTGGGCAGAGCTGGCACTGCTGCTTGCATCCAGCCTCATGAGCCAAGCCCAGCCCAAGTGTCCTTCACTCCTACACTTGTGTTCTTCTCCCTTCCCTTGAATGACAAGTCAACTTTTTAAAGCTTCTGCTTCCCTTGGCTCATCCAATATTAATCTCAGAATTAAACCAAGCCAGAACACAGTCAGCTTCACAAGGAGAAATGTTTAAAGCCCTCTAATAGCAGAGCAGACCAATCCAGATCTGTGCCCTTCCTTGGCAAAGCACCACGCTCTGCTGCTACCTCAGGACCAGCTCTTCCCTGCATCCCTGCTGCAGAGGGAGATTATTCTAGCAATTCCCTGGTCACCAAGGCTCCTGAATTAACCTCTCCATTCACCAGGCAGTTACCAGGACATTCCCCCATCCTCTCTGCTCTGATGATCAGCTCTTGGCAACGCGAGATTTGCCTTTATCCGCACGGCGCAGTCCCAACCTGAGCCCACGAAACTCCAACATTATCTCAGCAGCAGCAACCCAAGCAGGTGCCCTGTTCAACTCCATCTCAAGCCTCTCTTATCCTGGTGTGCACCAGAGCAGCTCTGTCAAGAGCCACGAGTTGTGAAATGTAATGTAAATTTCCTGACTGCACCATCGCTCACATAAGCAGCTCAGGAAACAATTTATGACCCATCAGGCTTGTGCTAACCCCTTCTTATCCTGAGCCTTTTAAGAGCCAGGGCTGCAGCAGGAGCTGCATATCAAGTGATCTTTGTGCCTCTACAACTCAGCAGCCACATCTCTGCTGCTGCCACTGCTCAGAGTTGTACCCTTAGCCCTGTGCTTGCCTCTCCTCCATCCCTGTGTGGACACACTCTGTGCACTCCCTGCCACCCATCCCTGCTCTCTCTACCCCACTCTGTGGTCTGAATTCTGCCTGTTAGCCAGAGCTGTATCAAGCAGGGATCTCCAAGCAAAGGCAAGACAGCTCCTTGCTAAACCAGCCCTTGAAATGAGGGATTGCAGCTCCAGGGAATCCGCCAGTCACCGGGATTTAACCAACGTCGGGTTTACAAAGGTATCTCCTGCTTGCTAAACTCCCAGGGAGATGTGAAGAGGAGAATATAAATAGAGACAAGAGAGGAGAGCATGTGCAACATGTTTCCCTGCAGCAATTCCATGCCAGCACTGATATGTGGGAGTAGGGATGCTCCAGTACCTTCGATGGGCAGCAGGATGACGCGCGAGTGGTCGTAGGCGATCACGTTGGCGTAACGGTTCTTGGGTTTGTTCACTTCCAGGTTGGAGTGCTCCCAGGTGAACTGCTGGCCAGGGTCAATGGACTGCAGGAGTTGGGAAAGAAAAGAGTCAGAAAGCAGAAAACATGACTCTGAATATCTTGTTGCAGGTGGGAGAGGTTGTGGCTCTGAAGATCTTGCTGAGGAATGCAGCGATCACTGTTTTATTCCCTCAATACTCATTTGGGCTGAGGGAAAGCTCCAGCCTGGTGGGGCAGCTCACACCCCATCTCCCTTAGCCCTGAGCACACTCACAGCAGTACCTGAGCTAATTCCCACTCTGGCATGATGCAACCCAGTGGTAAAAGCATCAGTGCAATTCCAGGCTGCACTAGAGGCCTTGGATGCCATTTCTACCCAGGCTGTACTGGGTTAATCACAGCCAACACTGATAAACAGCCACAAACTGGGAGAGAACAGGACTGAGCACATCAGGGTGTATTTATGGAATGACCAAGGGGCCAAAACTGTGCATGGTTAAACTACACCAGGATTAAAAGGGTATAAATAAACCAATGTCTTGGTAAGTGCTAATATATTTAAGCCAGGACAAGGTTTATAACCCTGTGTGCAAAAAGGATGGGAAAGATCAGGGGGAAAAGGGATCTTACAAGGAGAGGGCATTTTCACAAGGGCATGGAGCAATAGGAAAAGGGTGAATGGCCTTAAACGTAGATATTGGGAAGAAATTCCTCCCTGGGAGGTGCTGAGGCTCTGGCATAGGTTGCCCAGAGCAGCTGTGGCTGCTCCATCCCTGGGAGTGTTCCAGGCCAGGTTGGATGGGGCTTGGAGCAACCTGGGCTGGTGGAAAGTGTCCCTGTCCATGGCTAAGCTATAAGGTCCTTTCAAACCCAAACCATCCTGGGGTTCTATGAATAAAGAATCTGCTGTCCTGGGCAGCACAAGGGAGCAGGGACAGCAAGACTTGGGACCACAAAGACTTGGTGAAAGCCCCAGGAGAGCCTGGCAGGAAGCAGCTGCTGCTCAGCAGGGTGAGGAGTGCATCTCTCAGCACAGAGAGGGGTAAGGACCCAGGCCTAAGACACTCCATCAACATGGATTTTTCCTAGAAGGGCTGAAGGAATAAACAACAAAATGCACTGGAGAAAAAAATCCCCTCTGCCCGTCCTAGTGATTTATGCCAGGTTTGGTGGTTGGGTTTTTTTTTTTCCTCTCTCTGAAGTCCAGCTGTCCCAGATATGGAAATTAGGTTAATTACGTTTACCTCTAAATCCTCAGCCAGAGAATTAAATAAAACAAGGGCTTAATTCCTTCATCATTTTGCAGCGCCCTAGGGGTTTGCCTCAATTGGAGGCTTGGCAGGAGCATGCCGAGCTGTTTCCTGCTGTTTGCTCTCCCTCTCTCCCTGCCTGGTGGGGACAGGGCCCTAGATTCATCCCTCTGAGCTGGCAGGGGTCAGTCCTCACCCAGCACCTATTGCCCTCCCTGCCTGTGCCCACCCTGGAGCTCCCTGGGCACATCACAGCAGTGTTGGTAACAAAACCAGCCTAAAAAAAAAAACCCACCAAAAAACCCAACCAAAAAACCACCTCCTCGTGCTCTCTCACTGCAGAGAATTTCTAACTAATGGGTATTTATACTATTGTAATGTGTCTGTTTGCTCTCCATCCCTCTAATCATGCCTCGCCTTCACTTCATTAGCGATGTTTGTTCAGCTCTGGCTCTCCCACTGGAGGAGGTTGGGCTGGCATGGAGCCAGGGCACTTGGGATATGGCATTATGCAAATCAGCCTTTGAAATCTGGATGGAGAATATTAAGAGGCTGCTGCTACCCCCACACCCCAACGTGGGGGGGAGAGACCCCAGCAGAGCAGCAAGTGCCTTCTCCAGCGTGTAATCCAGGGGCATGGAGCTGCCTCCCTGCATGCTGATGTCTGGGAGGTAGAGCAGGGAGAAAACATCCCTTTGTTTGGGAAATATCCTCCTGTTCTCCCCCTGCAAACATAGCTAGGCAGTCTAGACTGGTTATTAGGCTAAAAATATCGGAGTATTTTATGTCTTTCAACAACAAAACCAAGAGAGGAGAGAGACTTCTTACAAGGGCATGGAGCGATCGGACGAGGGGAAATGGCTTGAAACTGAGAGTAGGTTTAGATGAGATATTTGGGAGAAATTCCTCCATGGGAGGTGCTGAGGCACTGGCACAGGTTGCCCAGAGAAGCTGTGGCTGCTCCATCCCTGGGAGTGTTCCAGGCCAGGGTGGAGAAGAGAAGCTCCAAGAGAAGCTTCCAGTGCCTAAAGGAGCTCCAGGAGAGATGGAGAAGGACTTTGGACAAGGGATGGAGGGACAGGACACAGGGAATGGCTTCCCACTGCCAGAGGGCAGGATTAGATGGGATATTGGGAAGGAATTCCTCCCTGTGAGGTGCTGAGGCACTGGAATGGATTTCCCAGAGCAGCTGTGGCTGCTCCATCCCTGGGAGAGTTCCAGACCAGGTTGGATGAGGTTTGGAGCAACCTGAGCTGGTGGGAGGTGTCCCTGCCCATGGCAAGGGTGGAATGAGATGAGCTTTAATCCCTCCAACCCAAACCATTCTGAGATTCTTTGATTCCATGTTCCCTCTGCACTGGAAGCATCCCCCATCCCAATGCTCCTGCAGCACCTGGCACTGGCTCTGAGATTTAACCAGAGCAGGGTGAGCAGAGAGCAGCAGGTTTGTGCTGTGCTGCAGGGGCAACGTGGGGGCTTGTGCTGCTCTGCACTCTCCCCTCAGTCTGCTTTGAGGCTGGCTTACTCTGGCAGCAAGGTGGGAATTTTACAGCCTGGGACAGTGATTTGCAATGCAAGCCTAGGAGCTGCAGCTGTGCCTGTCTGGTCGCCTGCAGGAGCTCAGCTCAGTAACCAAACATCAG